TGAATATTTATGAAACTTTTCAATATTATCTGTAATATAAATTATTAAACATTTAATACATTCAAACACATTAACAACATTAATGTTACTATTTTTGTAAATATTATTCATTTTTCTCAATGTAATTTCATAAAACTGAATAGCATTTTTATTATCATAATTAGCAATAAATCTTAAAGTATATGAATATATTCTTTTACAATAGAATTTTAAATCTGATTGTTCAAATAAATCAGCATAATTAATAGAATTATAAAACATGTTAAAATCAATTTTGCTATTTCTAAAGTCATTAACAAAATTAATTAATATATCATGTTCGTTATATTCTTCAATAAAATTATTTAATTTCAATTCTTTTACATCAATGAATTTAATAATATTATTTATAACATCTTGCATTATAAATAATAATAGAAATAATTTTAACTATTATTTTTTCATCATTCTTTCTCAGGTGTAAATAACCTACCAAATCCACTTTTGAAGTTTTCTACCCAACTTTCTTCAACTGTGCTACCGTCAGCATCTTTCTTTTTTACTGTATGAACTGTATGCATGTTTCGACCACATGAACACGGCCAACATTTAACTTTGACATGTTCTTTATCTAACTCTAATTCATTTAGTGGTTTAATTGCTTGACCGCATTTATCGCATTTGACACATTCAATCTCTTTTTGTTTCTCTTGCTTCTTCTTTGGAGGCATTTATATTAATATTCACATTTTTATTTTTGATATATTGTATAACAAACTTAATTAATTCTAAAACAAAATAACATATTTTTTTACATCTATTATTAGTTATAACAACTTGTTCTATATTCTCTATTTCATCTATTATATCAATATAATCTGAATAACTTCTATTCATATAAAATAATAAATATTAAATTATTTTCTAAATGTCTTTAATATTATTTTTATTATGCCTGATGTAAAACCAATTGATGAAATCAAATATGACTTTAAGCAAAGTAAGCACGAGGTCGTCCCTAAATTGCCGATGAGAGCGATGATTGTAGGTCCGTCTGGTTCTGGAAAATCAACTTTACTTGTATCAATGATACTTGATATTTATAGAGGAGCATTTGAAAGGGTTTTTATCTGGTCTCCATCTGTAAATTTGGATAGTATTTGGTTGCCTGTCAAAAAATACATTAAAGAAGGTTTGAAAGTAGATACTGATAAAGAACCGTGTTGGTGGGATGAGTTCAATGTTGAAGATTTAGAAAGAGTTATAGAAACTCAAAATAAAATAATTGAATACCAGAAAAAACAATGAATGAAGAAGTTATTTAATATTTTGGTAATTTTGGATGATGTATCTGATAACCCAGCAATAACAAGAAATAACAAATTGTTAAATTCTTTATTCTGTAGGGGACGTCATAGTGGAATATCAACGCTTGTCAGTCTTCAGAAATCATCAAGTGTCCCACCAATTATTAGAGTAAATATAAGTCATTTGTTTTATTATAAAGTTAGAAACTTCAAAGAGATAGAAATATTACAAGATGAATTATCAGCAATTGCTAGAAGTGATAATTTACTAGAAAGCAAGAAACTAATTTATAAAATATATGAGACTGCAACTGATGAACCGCATAGCTTTTTATATATTAACCTTCTCCAAAAAGACCCTAACCGTATCTTTATGAAAAACTTTTCACATTATTTGAAAATTACTAATTAAATAAATAAATATATTAATATTATATGATATTTTATGATTTACCAATAGAAATTAAAAACCTTGTATTATCTTATAATTTAGGTGATGTTAGATTATTAAAAATAAAAAATAATAATATTATTAAAAAATTATATTAATAAATTTAAACCAGTGTATAAGTCTTACAAATTAAAGAATTCACAATATTTTGAAATTGATAATATCAATATGAAAAATATTATCAATAACGGCACATCATATATTTTTAACTTAAGTGAGTTAGATAAACTACATCAAAAACATAAACCATTAAAATTATTAATTGAATATGATATATTTGCTACATCTACCTCATTTACTTGTTTGAATCATGTTCGTAATCGTACTTTAACATCGAATAATTTATTTGATATTTATTATTTTCTTAATAAAGACCTTTATGAAACTAATTTAACGTATAGCCGTAATATGGTTAATTTTATTTCATTACAAGTTAAAAAAATAACTATTAAAGTCATCAATGAAGATGACCAAATTATTATTGATGACTTTTATTTTTATCTTTAAAATTAATAGCATTAAGATTATGGCTTAATGTCATTAATTCAAAATAATGAATAACTACAAATTTGAACCGGTAATCTATATATTAATTTGTCACTTTTTAAATACATAACTAATTAAACAAATAAAAATAAATATACTATATGATATTTTATGATTTACCCGGAGACATTAAACTTTATATAGCGTCATATATTTTAGGTCATTCTAAAATAATAAAACTAAAAAATAATAAAGTGTTTAGAACATATATTAATAG